TTTACCTGGTGTGAGTGGTGTTATTTCATATCCCAGTAAAGGCCCAGCCCAGGAAAAAAAGCAGGAAAATAATGAAAACCAACCAACATCTTCCTAATCTCCGTTTCATTTTCCCTGGAGCCCCTCAGACAGTGTTTGAGGGCAGCCAGAGGTGGTTGTAGCTGCTGTGCTTTTCCCCTGCTGTGCTCCTGAGGATCAATATATGCACTGGGAATAAAAGCCTGGAAGTTCCCGACCCCGTGTGCCAGTGTGGGATCCCTGGAACGTGGCATCCCCTGGAAGGGCTCCGTGGGTGTCACCACACACTCTAACAGGCAGCAGGGGGAAAAAAAATAAGCACTGGGCACGTGCCAGCAGCACTTTTTGAAGTGTAAACACAACATGATCCATGGAAAAGCTGGAGAGCCTCCAAGTTCCAGCCCTGCTGTCCTGCAGGGCCTCGGTGCAGGGCTCATCCAAGCAGCTGATTCCCGCTGCAATACACCCATTTTTTGCCCCGTGTCCGACGTACAATCCCCATTTTCCCGTTGTTTCTGTGCTGTGGGATCCCTGGATGCAGCGGGGTGTGCCCCAGAATCCCAGGAATCCTTTCCCTGCCCGTGTCAGACAGCTCCGGGTGTGGGTTTCACGGAGACAAATCGTTCCGTGTCGGGTCTGCCCTGGTGAGCTTGTACCTACAACCCAGGGGTTATTTGGGATGGGCAGATGGAAAAGATAGAGGCAGGCAGTAATTGCCTTTAAGATCAGAGCACAAAGCATTACCTTGGATTTTACAAGGCCAGCGAGCAACAAAAGAGCCGTAATTTATGAGCTCAGCGTAAAAGAAGAGCATAATTGCATTAAAAATTAATGCTAATGAACACTAAAATGGGGAAGGTGGTTATGATGAAAGTTTGGATTCATCTTCCCCGGGTTGAATGATGGCTGGGGCCTTGATTAATGGCTTAATTTCTATCAATTAGCGGGGGAAAAATCTCCTACGAGACAAGGGTAAATTGAGCATCGAGTTACAGATCCTGCCTTTGTGTCCCAGAAAAACGTGGAGCCGGGAGCTCCGGGATCGGCCCCGCTGACAAATGTGGGGTGGCCACATCCCAACCCTGCACATCTCCCTGCCTGGGCTGAGGGCTGGGAAATATCCAGGGATTCGGAGCCGTTTCCCACCGCTCCCGTTGGCTGAGTGTGGCTCCTTCCCGGAATGTTTGCAAAAATATCCCGAAAAACCCTCAAAATGTGGATGTGGGAGCAAGCCCGGGTGGGAAAGCACGGTGGGGAAGGTCATGCAAGGCTGCAGCAGAAATTTAATGTTCTGAAATTAAAAGGTCTTCATTAAAATGAAATATAAATTCAGAGCTTAGTTGCTGAACTTTCCCATCCTGTTTTCTGCTGGATTTTATACCCAGTACTTCCATTTTTTCAAGGAAAAACCATTAATGTCCACACTTGTTTTAAAATCTTTGAAAATGAGATTATTTTCACTATAATGTAATAAAAGAGCAAACTTAGAGTATTCTGCTACTCTCTGTAGTACCTCTCTTGTAAGTACTAAGTACTCACAAAATGCAATTTTAATGTATTTTAATGATAATTAAAATTAACAGGATTTAAAAAAAACCAAACAACACTTTGACAGAATTTTAAAACGAGCCTGGGCAAACTTTTCCCTGCTAATATGTATTTTTCCAACTTATCTGTAAATCCTGTAGGGAATGAGTTCTGGAGTCCTCACAACCTGCTCCTCCAATGCCTTGTAATCGTATTTTTAAAGCACTTCCGATGGATTTGGGAGGACACAAACAACAGGCAAAAAGCTCCTTTTGGAGCGTGTTTGTGGTCTCTGTGAGTTTGGCTGGGAAAAGCGATTTCCCTGGAAATCCCAACAGCTGGGAAATAGTGTGGGATCGGGATCGGGAAGCGGGCGGCAGCCCCGAGGCTTTGAGGGAGGGCAGAGGTGGGGTCGGAGCTAATCCCGAATCCGGGATGCACCGGGATGGGGTCCGGGCAGGGATGCTGAGCTTGGAGCATCCTCAGGCTCCTCATCCGCGGATCCAAAGGCTCGGCAGAGGCCCCGTTGAGTGTGGAGGTGCCTCCCTCTAACGGCAGCTGGGAAGCGGGATGGGCTGGGTGAGATCCCGGGAGGCTCCCGGGGGAACACCGGCCTGGAGGGACCTTGGAGGGACAGGAGGAGAAGGGATCTGGGGACACGGGGGAATGTTGTGTTAAAAGCTTGAGGGAGCAGGACATTCCTGGGCTGTTTTGCTCCGGATTTTGTTCCCACTGGTGCTGGAATTGTCACCTCTGGAATGGCCTCTGAGGCTCCAGTCGGGAAAGGGGACTCCCAAATTCCTGTGGCTCTGGATCAGGAAAATGCCCGTGAGCCAGCACTGGTTGTCTGCTGCTCAGAGAAAAGATTGGAGGGAGAAAAAAATCCCTAAAAGCCATCACTCCAAGTTTGATAAAGTCCAGGGATGACACAACCACAGGGAATCCCACCATCCTGCGGGATTTTCCCTCCTCCCCCCGGTGCTTCCCTTGTGTTTAATCCAAATATCCCAGCGCAGTGCCTGCAGAATCCAACACCTCCCACAGCCAGGGAGTCATTTTTTCAGGGAGATTCCTGATGGGTTTGCCTTTTCTACTGCAAATTGTCCAGGGAAAACTCCAGTTTTCCTTTGGATGTGTCAGTTTGTGCAGCTTCAGTAAAACTGGGATCAATTAAAAATCAGGGGGGGTGTGGGAACAGTTCTGTTGGCAAACAGACAGTTCTGTAAGGCAGTCGTATAAAAATACACTTCCAATAATCCCAAATAAAATGGGATCAAAGGGAAAATATTTTCTTCTTCAGTTGTTTGTTTAGTCTGGGATCTGTTGGTGTTTCCTTCAAGCTCATAAACAGAAGAGCAGGAAAAAAAAGCAGCAATTTTTTTTTTCTGTCTTTCAAAGCGTTTTACCCAGAATGGGTTATATTTTAATTTGCTCAGTTAAATTAACCCCTTAAATCTAATTAGTGAAATAGGAAGAAACAGATTCTGAGGGATATTTGAGGTTTATTATGTTGTTGCTTTGATTCTGGAGTTAAACCTGCTTGAAAGAAAACTCTTTATGTTGTTCATGTTCATGGTCAGGATTTGGGGTGAGCAGTGAATCCATAATAATTTACACCTAAAGACTTCCCCAAGAAATATTTAAAGAATATTTTTATTTAATGGATAATTCACAAGATGTTATTGGTCATTTAATGCTTTTAAAACTCTTAGTGGGCTAAATTTTGTCTTTAAAAATTAGGAAAAAACGGGAATATTTTAGGCAGAGCTTGCAGGGAAGTTACTTTTTCTTTTGTGTGATTTATAGAATCATAGAATTCTCTGATTCTTTTTCTTTTATCTGATTCTCTGCTGTCTTTAATTATTGTGTGTGTGATGTTTTTGGGTGGCAGCTGAAGAATTCGTACACATTTCTTGTTTTAAAGTGGCATTTCATGTTCTTGCTAATACAGGCTAATTCAATACGAAATTAGCAGCTAGAAAAGATGGGTTTATTTATATATATGGGAAGATACAAATAGATATAAATATAGAAGCATAAAATACTGAATTATCCCTGAAGGACGAAGTTCCCAGTTAAACCTGTGACTGGGAGAACTGGGAAAGGTCCCCTCAGCCACGGAGCTCTGGGAAGGAGCTGGTGACAGGGATGGAAATTGTCCCCCTTTTGATAAAAAATAGCCCCAACAAGCCCTAATCCAAGATTTAATTCCTCTTTTTTCCCCTCTAACAGGGTGAAAAGACTCCGTGCAGTGAGTTAGTATTGATTTTTTTTTGTCTGAGGCCTCTTAGCTTTCTGACTCCATTATTTTTGATTTTCCTATGAAATACATCTCCTTCCTACTGACATCTGACAAACAACATCTGGAAGTCGTTTTATCTCCCCATAATGTGTTTGTCAAACAAGTCCTGCACTAATGGGCTCTGCTTCCTCACTCCATTTACCCCCTTAATGTCCCTGATGTCATTGGGAGCATTCAGGGATTTTTGCCCCCTAATTTGTCATTCCCATCAGTTTGTGTAGGATCCATGTGAGATCCTGGAACCGGCTGGGATTTTGGGAAATCAGAGCTGAGCAGCTGATTTTAAATCTCCTTTCCCTGCCTTTCTGATCCATGGCTTTAATCAGGGTCCCTTTATTTCCCCTCAGGCCAGGTGGGCCCAAAAACTCCGTGGATTATGATTCCCTCTCCCCAGCAGGGCACTGGTATATTTGGTTTATGCCAAAAAATCCCTAGGAATGTGTTTTAAAGGAGAAGAACTTCAGCAGCCAGGCAACTTTTAAACACAAGCTTAATTCCTTCTAAATTAAAAATAAAACAGGATTAAACTGTACTTCTGGGCTTTGCTGCAGTGCAGCTCTTGGCATCTTGGAATCATGGAATGGTTTGGGTTGGAAAGGACCTTAAAGCCCATCCAGTGCCTCCCCTGCCATGGGCAGGGACACCTTCCACTGTCCCAGGTTGCTCCAACCTGGCCTTGGACACTTCCAGGGATCCAGGGGCAGCCACAACTTCTCTGGGCAACCTGTGCCAGGGCCTCCCCACCCTCCCAGCCAGGAATTCCTTCCCAATATCCCATGTAAACCTCCTCTCTGGCAGTGGGAAGCCATTCCCTCTGTCCCGTCCCTCCATCCCTTGCCCCAAGTCCCTCTCCAGCTCTCCTGGAGCCCAGGGCCCTCAGGTCTCCCTGGAGCCTTCTCTTCTCCAGTTATCCCACAAGGACTTCTCTGGTAAATTCCTGTCAGCACCTGGAATGCTGTCCCAGGTTGAGCAGTAATGGCCAACACCGTCCCCTGCTGTTATCTTCACCCAGGGAGGTTTTTAGGGTATTTTAGGCTGCATCACACATTAGGATTTTCCTGGTACTTTCTGAACTATACTCAGGGAACCTCTTGGCTAGGGTTTGATGCCAGGATTGCACTAAAGCCCCCTGATGTCCCCCCTGCCCTTGCAGACCAGGCCACCCTCGTGGACCAAGTGAAGCGACTGAAGGAAATCGAAGCGATCGAGAGCGACGCCTTCGTCCCCCAGACCTTCCGGTCGAGCAAGGAAGTCAAAAAGGTACCTTTCCAATATTCCCACGTTCCTTTCCTGCTGCACAACCCTCTGAGAGCCAGCAGGAAGCTGTGCCATGAAGGCAGTTCCCATTGGTGAAAGGGCATCGATGGTGACAACCTTAAACCCCCGCGGCCCCTCTCCGGTGTCGCGGGTGGGTTCAGAGAACACACTTAAATGTGGAAGAATTCTGTGAAGCAGAAGGGGTTGAAGACTTGTTTGAGGTAAAGCAGAAGAATTAAAATTGTAAAGTAATCAGGCATTTACACTGTAATTAAAGGGAGAAATATCTTTGATTCTGCTTAACTGGAGCCAGACTTTAAGACCACATTTACTCCCTGAAAAGAACCAGCTTGGTTTTCAGCTTTCCCAGATTTGACAATTTTACCAGGATTTTGACCCCCCAATCTTCTAGAGAACTCGGATGCTGTTGTCTTTGGAAGTGTGCAAGGCAAGGCTTTGTTCAGTTTTCCCACCTGGCAGGGAGGTGTTTGGAGTTACCACTGTTGGTTTCCCCAGGAACGTTCATTTTCTTGCCATTCCAGAAACCTCCAAGAAGTTGATGCAGCTTCTTCAGAAAGTGACCCAAGAAACCATCATTCCTGTTCTTCAGGCTCTCTCCTTGCCTTGGGCAATACCTTTTTTGGCACTCCATGTGCTTATCCTGCTTATCCATGTGCTTTGTCCATGGCCAGTGTGTTCCACCAAGCACACGGAGAAGTGAGGATCCTTTTGTGGGCACATGTACAAAGGGAAGACAACTGAATGCTCAGTTCAGATCCTGCCACGTTTGGGAATTTGAGGATAAAATACTTTAATTTTATATATTTGTTTCTTTTTAGGTGACAGAACCTCCTGAGCTCCAACATGAACCTGTGACTGTCGGAGCGGGCGCCGCTGAGGCTGCAGCTCCTGAGAAAGAGCCTCCCCCTGCCAGCATTCCCACTGCCATCAAATACCAGGATGACAATTCCTTAGCACATCCAAATGTAAGTGTGCTCATATTTATCCCAAATTTCTCTGTAGCTGAAGGAGAGCAGGGTCACACGACCCAACAGCCATTGGGTAATCCGTGCTCCGAAGACACTGGGACAAAGAGGATCCCACTCCTTCCATCAGCCAGCAGAGTCATTCCAAAATAAGTTCACCAGTGATGTAGCTGTAGACTTACAAATGAACTTTATAACAAAATGTACCTCATGTAACACAGAGGAATTCAAGATCCTGTTCAATAAGAATTCAGGGCATATTGTTGGTGGAAGACTGAGAACTCGCCCAGTTTGTCAACTTGTAAAGCTTTAAATGCAGTGCAGACTTCAGGTAATTTTAAATCATGTGGCTGAACTTAAGCAAGTTCCTTTTGAGCACTTTAACAGGAAATAAAAGGATTTGCATTGAGGTTTTTTAAGAGTTAGCAAGTTAAAAATGACTAAATGAATGTGAGTGTTGTATAATGAACCCAGTGAACAGGGAGCAGGACACGAGCAGTGATGAACTTGCTGGTTCAGGAGACTGAAACTTTGCTTTCCAATTATGATGATCTTTAATGTCCCTTCTGAAATTGGAAATTGGAGCCTTTGCTTTCCAATTAGTGTGGTCTTTAATGTCTCTTCCAAGCCAGCCCATCCTGTGATTCCATGAAAAGTCTCTCCGTCCGTTTGATCTCCCCTTTGTGTTTCACCCCCGTGCTCAGCTGAGCTTTTCCCTTGGGCACTGAAATAGTCCCCAGATATTCCAACAGGTCCTGACAAACAGAGAGTTCCTGAGTTGTGCCAACTTTCCCTCCTCTCCCCTGTCCCCAGCTGTTCATTGAGAAGGCAGAAGCTGAGGAGAAGTGGTTCCAGAGGCTGGTGGCCCTGCGGCAGGAACGGCTCATGGGCAGCCCCGTGGCCTGAGCAGCTCCCGGGAACATCAGGAGCCAGTTCTCCACCAATGCCAAGAAACCCCAGCATTCAGTTGTTCTGTTCTCCTCTCCTGAGGGATTTTCACACTCAGGCTGAGCTGTGCAGGCAGTAAGTGTTTCCTCTGAGCAAACAGGGCTGTTCTGTCCGGGCTCTCTCCTGAACTCCTCGGGGGTGTTGCTGTGGGGGGTGTGACAGCACAGCAGGGCCATTCCCTGTTTTATATGGAATTCCTCAACGGTGCAAAACAACTGACAGCCCCAGGAGATGGAATTTTATACCTCCCAGGCAAACAATTCTATCTAACCAGGGAGCAGTGGGGAGATAAATGACAAGATGGGACTGAGGGCTCAGATTTCCCGGGACATCGGAGGCCAAGCGGAGCCATCCCAGACCAATCCATCTCCTGCAGCTGGAGGAGGAGCCAGGGCAGGACGGAGGATCCAGGCAGGAGGATCCAGGACAGGTGGGGGTCATTGTTATCCCTTCTTCCTTCCTCCTCTTGGATCCTGGATCAGGCTCCTGGCTGAGGGAATCTTCTCCATGGATGTTCATCCCCCTGCTCGTGGTTCCTCACTCTGGGTGGGAAGGAACATCCCACATTTCCTTGACCATCTGCTGTAACTCTAAATGGGAGATGACACAAATGTCATAATTTAGACAGTGACCAGTTTCTATCAGTCTCAAACACACCTGTTTCTGTACAGAGTGACTGGTCCCAGGCCAGGAACTTTCCTTTGTCCAGGTGGGACTTTCAAATAATGAAAGATCTGAATTTAACCTGAATAAACTTCCAAAAAATCTGCCCATCGTCCAGCTAAAAACAGGACATCAACCAAATCAAATAAAAATGGGGAAGTATTTCTTCAATCAAAGCTGTGAGAGAACTGTCCCATCAGGAGGAGTAAACTGAGGTGTGTGTCCCCCAGTGATGGACCTCAGCATTCCCGTGGGAGTGAGGCTCTTTTTTGGGATTATTTTTCCTGATTCTCAGCCCTGTGGTGATGAAAAATGGAGGATGGTTCTGGAAATGTACTTTGGTTGTCTTGGTTTTTGTTTTAGATTCCTGATGTAAAAGGAAAATGTGTTAAATTTGCATTCTAACACAGTTTTACTTTCTTTTTGAAGTGTTGGATTTACTTTATCCTGCATTAAAATGTTCCAAGACATTTGCAGGAAAATCTGGGAGGAAAATTGTTCCCTTGTTTCATTTCAGCATTTTCAAATGGTAAATATTTGTCTTGTTCTGTTTCCTAATCACCTTTTATGTCTCTTTCTTAGTAAATAAAAACTGTTTGATCTCCATGGAAGGTACAGCTGTGAATTCCTGGTTTTCACACATTATGTTGGATAATTTTGGTGGTTTTACTGGATGCAAAATGATTCCTTTTACTTGCAGCCCTGTGGAATATTAGAAAATACTACAAACCAGTCAGTAAATAAGACTTTAATTGTACTAATATTTTATATATTTCCTATAATATTTTATATATTTTATTTGATATTTTTATATATTTATATAAAATATATATTTTATGTTATGTTTTTTATATTAATTTAATAGTAGTAAATACTATTTATTGCTTATCAATCAACATCTAAATCTGCCCAGCAAGTCCATGCTGGAGGAGAACTGGGAGCAAGAGCTAGAAAGAAAATGGGAATAGCATTTAAATAATCCCAACTGAATAGAAACAGGTACTTGTCTTAATCTACTAAATCTTATTCTTGGACAATAATCCTACTTTTTAGTTTCTATGCTTTTAATTTCTTCTGCTCTTCTCATGTGTAGGGCTCTTCCCTACAGAAAGTTTATTTTTTTTGGTTGTGTTTCCCACTTTGCTCCATGCTCCTGGTGAAAGGGAATAGATTCCTGATTGGAAAAGGGAATGAAACAGCTGTTCATTAGTTTTCCAAGGGAAACAGAGGATCTGAGCTGTGTTTTGCAGCCTGCAGGGAGCAGTGACATGGTCTTGTCATTGGGGGCTGTGGTGTCCCTGATACACAAAATTCCTGCTGATGCCAAACTACCTTAACTGGGGCTCAGGAACGGAGTGCAGGGATGGAAGATAATGCTGTAACTGGAGCCCTGACTCCTGGCAGTCAGCAAAGAGCTCTCCCCTCAGGAATTCCATCAGGAAACTCATTTCCCTGGGCCTGGGAGCAGCCACCTGGGATTAACATCACTCTGGGCTGGGGTTGGGAACACTCAGGGAAAATGGGCACGGGCCCTTCCTGGTTCCTTGACTCATCCAGCACCTCCACAGCTATTTGTTAGTGGGATAATTGCTTGCAAAGGAGCTGTGCTTAGTTTTAAAATTATTATTATTGTTATTATTATTGTTGGTGCAGCAGCTCAGATAATGGTATCTAAGGAAACACTCCCAGCCAGGAGATCAAGTGTTGCTCCTTCTGCTTCAGTCACTCCAGTGGGAGCAGGACTGGATGATCCCAGAATCCACCAGTAACCCAAAACCAGCCCTCTCATGGTTACACTTTTGTCAGCTGACAAGAAGGGAGTTATTTTTAGGGGAGATCCTTGAACTCCAGAGACCTGTCTGAGGAGAGATGGGCTTGAACCTGTGACTTCACCCACGCCTGACCCGGGGCTGCGGCGACTCTTCAGCTCGAAACAGTGATAAAAAATGCTAAAAGTACTGTTAACCTGGGTTTAAAATGGTCCCCATTTGGAATTTGGACTTAGGGCAGCTTTGCCTGCTTTGTTTTTCCTGGCTGTTCTCTCCTCCTTTGGAAAGAAGAGCAGCAGTGGCTGGGCTGGATTAGGTGACCCTGGGAGTGAGTCACCCTGAGTCACTCTGGAATTGTCACTCCGGGCTGAGGGGACACCAAGTGCCTCCTCTTTCTGGAAGAAGCAGGAGCTGCAGCTCAGCCCTGGAGGGGAGGAGGGTGCTCAGTGCCACCAGCACAGCTGGGCTCCACTTCCAGCCCTGCTCCCACCATCCTCAGCCCCAACACCACAAAGAGCTGCTGGGATAAATCCAGAGGAGGCCACAGAGATGCTCCCAGGGCTGGAGCCCCTCTGCTCTGGAGCCAGGCTGGGAGAGCTGGGGGTGCTCACCTGGAGGAGAGAAGGCTCCAGGGAGAACTCAGAGCCCCTTCCAGAGCCTAAAGGGGCTCCAGGAGAGCTGGAGAGGGACTGGGGACAAGGGATGGAGGGACAGGACACGTGGAATGGCTTCCCACTGCCAGAGACAGGGTTAGATGGGATATTGGGAAGGAATTGCTGTCTGTGAGGGTGGGGAGGCCCTGGCACAGGTTGCCCAGAGAAGCTGTGGCTGCCCCATCCCTGGAAGTGTCCAAGGCCAGGCTGGATGGGGCTTGGAGCAACCTGGGCTGGTGGAAAATGTCCCTGCCCATGGCAGGGGGTGGAATGGGATGGGCTTTAAGGTCCCTCCAACCCAAACCATTCTGGGATTGTATGAACTGAGCCTTGTAAAGAGAAACCTTTTCCAGCACTGAAGCAGAAAGTGGAGCTTCCCAAGAGCTGCTCCAAGCGCTTCCATGCCCTGCCCTTGGCTGTTCCATTTTACACCGACTCCAAAGGGTGGGAATTGTCTCCCAGCACTGATCCCTGGGCAGGAGCTGAGCAGGGGGAGCTGCAGTGGGTGTTGCTGTTCTGCTCTGGGGGGAGCTGGGCCCGTTGGAAGGAGCTCATTACAGGAGCCAGCACCAGGGATATGTCAGGGCTGTGTTTGCACAGAGACCCCTCTAATTGCTCAGCCCCTCTCATGGTGTGTCTGCTCCTGTTACAGCTCTTTGGTGCAGATAAAAAGACTCCTGGAAGAAATCACCTCTCCAGCTCTGCCAGTCTGGAGGGCATCTCCAATGAGATTAATGATGTCTGCCTTAATAGAAGAAAACTTTGCATAAATGAGATTATGGTTTCTGCTGAAACCTGCCAACTCTTATTCATTTGCAGTAAATATTATCTTTAATTAAAAGTTTTAAGGTATCTTGTTGCTGAACTAATGAGATCTACAGTGATTTCCCTTAGGAATTAATTTACCTTCTTAATTCTTATTCATTTTGGTGATATGACTGTTTAAATCTGATTCAGACTTCAGAGCTCTGTTGAACACATTCATCTGGAACAAAAGGTCATTTTGCCATGTTGGAGTTTTGTTGGTATTTATAATTCTCTTGTTCTCTCTTCATTCCAGAGATCCCTGTTTGGGTTCCTGCCCCAAACATTTCCTCCTAACCCTTCTATTCCTCTTAACTCTTCATGCTGGGAGGCCTTTTTCCAGAGCCATTTCCCTTTGGATTGTGTTTTGTGTTTCCTCCAGAGCAAAACTCAATTATAGGGATGCTGAAAAAAACCCACCCTGATTGTGATCAAATTATTTATATAAAATATACTGAAACCTCTGGAAAATATTTAGTGCAACTGCTGAGAAATGCAGGGATATTTCTGCCTTTCTGTCTGGGCAATCATCAAGTCTAATTCCTCTACAAGGATTATTTTTAGGCAGCAGGGATGTTTAACACCTGGAGGTGAAAATTGCATTCCTGGATATGTGTTTCAGTGGGCAAAGTGCCAGGCAGGAACTGGGCTGGGAGAGTGGGAGCCAGAACCCTTTCTGGGGCTGGACATGTGTTGCTGGCTGGATTTTAAAATATGTAATTACTAGGACTAAATTATAAAGTTCCCTTGTTCTAAAAATAAATACAGATGGAAGTGAAAAAAGTAAATTTGTAAGGAATTAACTGGTTTGCACACACAAAGAAGAAACCAGGAGAAAAGAAAGAATTAATATTGTTAATATTCCTTAGCTCATTATCAGGCGATTTTTCCAGTGTGAATCCTGAGCCATCCTCTCAATATCCAGGTCTGACATGGGTGGTTTAAAAGGTGGTTAATTAATTACCCTAATGAGGGGAATGGAGCAATCAGAGCAAACCTGGTGCTGGTGACCAGCAGTGGTTTTGTTCTGCCTCTGATGAAATATAAAACACCTCCTCAGGAGCATCTTGTCAGCCTTAACTGGGCAAGTGGAACCATATTTTAGGTAAGATGCAAACCATGAAGGAACAATTCTTGCTTTTTATGGGAAAAAAAGGCAATTTATTTCACCGTTCTTCCCAGTTTTTCCATTCCCCACCCAACAGTCGGTGAAACATTCCCGTGTCCGCCCTGCGACGCTGCCTGTGGAGAATCAGGGATTATCCTTAAAAACTGCTCCTGTGTCTGTGCAGCTGATAAAAGAAGTCTGTTCCAGAGCCCAGGAGGGACTCCTGGCTGGAGGGAACTCCTGACCCTGAACTTGCAGCTCCAAAAAAGGGTAAGAAACACGTTTTGTGGCCCGGGCCGAGCGCGCGCCGGCCCCGGGTATTTATAGAGTTGTCACCAACTCCTCCAGGCTGGTGATAACCTGCCATTTATAACTCACTGCCCAGCAACTTCCTCCAGCCCACCCCAGTGAGAGCATTATCAATGATGGAGGCACTAATAAATAATGCTGTTGGCAGGGCAACAGCCACCCCTCAGAGTGCCGGAGATCCTCGTGTTGGGATCATGATGGTCGGAGTCTTCCAGGTCCTCAACGGAGAAAAATGAGATTTATTTTTTTTTGCATGTGTTTCTTTGAGGCAGCTGAAGGAACTGGGGACAAAGTACAATATAAACCACCAAACTGTTTACCAGATGCCAAGCTAAATGTAGGATTTGCCAGCTTGGATTACCTGCCATGTCTTTCTGGTGTCCAGTGTCTCTGAGTTATCCAGGCTGGATGTTCTGTAAGGAATGTCCCCAACAGCCCATTATTGTCATCCCAACTCACATCCAAGACATCCAGGATAAACTTTTAGTTTAAATCTTTTTAGTTGGGATGTTACTTTTCAAATCATCTGTCCTTTGGAGACCCTCTGAGTTTTTGGCTTTAATTCCATCTTGGAGCAGTGAATTCCTGAGCCTCATTTTCCACCATGAGAACCAGCATTTCTTTTAATCAGCCCTAATTCTGTGACATTTCCCTCTACCTTGTCTTCGTGTTTTTGTTTAGCAAAGTACAAACTGAGGCATATAAATATTCTTAAAAAACAACAGAACCCACACCCAGTCAAGATTTGGCCCTGGGGGGAGAGTTGATCATTGATTCCAGGATTTGATCCAGAATTAATATTTGTTTAAATGGGCTCTGCTGCCAGTGTGCATAACTAGGGATTGATAAACTTTTGGCAGCACATGTGGAGCAGAGGGAATTCTGATCCAGAACTGCAGCTCCCTCATTTTGCCCAATGGCCAAGGGACCAGAAAATACACACTGAAGATGCTGAGCTTGGAAAGCATTCCTTTAAATCCTGGAAAGTTCTGTCTGGCACTGGAAGGGAGAGAAAAAGGTCCTGCTCCAGCCTCAGCTGCACGAGTTTTTAATGAATGGGATAAAGTCACTTGGCTCTTGTTTTGGTGCTTCCTCCAGCAGCACGTCCAGGGGACAGCAATTCCTGTGGGAAGTGGCTGATTCCTCTCCAAAGCTGGAGAGACACCAGGAGAAGGGACCCTGGGTGGTATTTTGGAGGCATTTCTCTTGCAAGCAGAAGAGGAACTGCTGGCAGCAGGAGGAAAGGCAGGAAAGGCAGTGCTGGGGCAAAATCTGCCTCAGGTTAATGGGGAACATCACCCAAACTGAGCCCAGAATTTGGCCATGGCAAGCCTGAAAAAACAGACAAAGAAAAATGGATAAAAAACCACACCTTGATTTCCCCAGTGCCTCCAAGAGCCCATTTCCACAGGAACTCACACCCAAGTTTACTTGGTTTTTACCAAGAAGCCACTTTTATTCACTGTTTAAAACCTGTGCCCACAGTTCAGATAATGGAATTAATCTGAAAGGTCTTCCCTGCCTCAGGCTCTTGGCCTCTGAAGCTAAAAATGACTCTTGCTGCTTCAGCAGATATTATCAATTACAGGTTTCAATTAGTCCTGTGCAAAACAAGTGTGTTCAGTGCACTAGTTCTCACAACATCCAGCTCAGATTAGGGCTGGTTTGACAGGTAGGGCAAGAATTAATTGTCAAGAAGAGTTTTCATTGTTCACCTTAAAAAAAACACAAACAACCCCAAACCAAACCTTTTATTACACAATTGCTTTTTAATTACATTTTTTGCATCCTGGGACTTCCAACAATGCAGGAAACATTTCTCTGTTTGCCCACCTATTGAGAACCAGCACAGGGTATTAAAAATAGGTCTTTTTCCAGCTATTTTGGACAAAAAGGAGAGCAGTGAGGGGCTGTGAGCAGCTCTGTGCTGAGTGTCCATGTGCTGCCCAGCAATGTCAGCAGCAAGGTTGAAGGAAACCTGAGAGGAGTCAGACAATCAGTGCTCAATCCCTGCACTTCTGGAGGGATCAGCAGTTCCTATTTACATTTTCAATGGATTGGCATCAATGAGGCCCCCTAGTCCTGCCAGTTGTTCCTTCCCAGGTGGGCTCGGAGCTGCAGTGCAATTCCCAGAGGTTTAAGTGTGTTTTTAGTGGGAGAGGCCTTTGGACAGTGCTGTTCCAGAGCTGATTTAATTCCATCCATGACATCAACCCAGTGCAGAGGCTTCTGCAAAGGCAGCTTGTTATAAATTGATGGTAAATATCAGATAAAAGCATCATTCTGCTGCAAACAACTGGAGGTAGGTGTGTAATAACATTTACATTAATATTTCATTTAAATATCTCTTCAGTTCACAGTCACCCAGACCAGTAACTTGTGCTAGTCCTGAAATAAGATGACAAGAATTTGCAACAAAAAAAAGTAGTCAAATTCACTGCAAAGGTAAAGAATCATGGAATGGTTTGGGTTGGAAGGGACCTTACAGACCATCCAGTGCCACCCCCTGCCAATTGTTCAATCTGTGGATTGAATAACTGCAGTGAAGAGGTTAATATTATATATTCTATATATTTTATATTTATATGTATTTGTAATATTGTGTGTGGCTTGAAACAAAGCTGAATTCTGTCTCTGGGCAATAAAAACATCATAGCTGGCACGAGATTTGGTTATAAAAAAATCCAAAAAGCAGAAGAATTCCTTTCCCTGAGCTGTTTGATTCCCTGATCTCTCCTCCTCAGTGCACCTCAGGAAGGTGTCCCTGCCCATGGCAGAGGATGGCACTGGATGGGCTTTAAGGTCTTTCCAACCCGAATAATTCTGTGAGTCCATGATCTTTCCCTTAAAAACTGGGATATTGAAAGAGATGTGAGGAGAGGAGGGAACAGAGGGAACAACTCCCAGGCTCAGAGCTCTGGGGGTTGTTCCAAGCACATAAACATTTTTGTCCACAATCCTCCCATTTTATGAAGAATGAAGGTGAGATTCCTTTACCTCTGGTTCTTTTGGGCTGTTTTCCTTCAGAACTAGGTTTATATGTGCCCACAGTTCTTATCCACACCTCTAAATGATCCCAACCTCTGCTCTCCAGGAAGCCCTGACAGGACTCTCCATGTGTTTGGAATCAGAGAACATCACAGAATATTGTATTTAAAATCAAGTCATGGCTGGACTCGGATGATCTTAAGGGTCTTTTCCAGTCTTAATGATTCAATGAGTAAGGTTGGAAAAGACTTCCCAGATCCTTCTTTCACTGAAATTTCCCTTTGATAACCATTCCCCGGGTTTGCTGAGGGATTTTTCCCTTCCCTGTGACCCCCTTTGTCCCTGCTGGGAGCCCAAGATTCCTTTTCCCTGTTGGACTGTGATCCCCACCCTTCCCTCTCCCAAGGCTGGTGCAGTTAAGGAACAGAGAGTGAACCTCCACAAAGCCTTGGAAACAGGATCTGCCTGGTCGGTGCAGTGTCAGGTAACCCTGGCACCCATATCCCCCTCCCTCCCTGCTCGGTGTGTCCTCAGCGCTGTATTTCCCTGGAATAGCTGTTTATGGATATTCCAGGGCAGGCTCCTGATGCTTTCCAGTCGTGCTGAGGCCAACGCGTGTTTCCAGGGTGCCGCAGCTTTATTTTCCTGCCAGAGGGGCCGCAGCTTTATTATTTTACTGCCATCTACTGGAAAAAACAGAATTATTTTTAAAATTGTTCGGGAACGGGCTGAGGCCGGGCCTGCGCCCCCCCGCTCTTCCCCAAGCCGGGCCGGGCCGGGCCGCCCTCCGCGGCCTCACGGGGCAGAGCGGGGCTTCAGGAGGGACATCCCGAGGCGGAGCGCGGCCCCCATTCCCGCATTCCCCGTTCCCGCTTCCCCCTGTTCCCGGATCCCGGGAGCGCTCCCGCAGCGGCGGCCCCGCGGTTGCCACGGCAACGGCGGCGCGCGGGGAGGCCCCGCCCCTAGAGGCGCGGCGGCCAATGGGAGCGCTCGCGGGGGGGGTCACGTGGTGGGCGGGGCGGTGCGCGGCGCGGTGAGGAGGGGCCGTGCGGGGCCGGGGGCGCGCAGAGCGCACAGACCGCCGCCATGTTCGGGGGGCTCGGCAGGTGCTTCGAGGAGGATCCTTTCTTCAGGTGAGGGGCGTGCGGGGACCGGCGCTCCGGGGGAGCCAGTTTGGGGCTGTAAGGGGGCGGTTGGGGTGCGTGTGAGGTGACAAGGAGCTCCGGGGACCGTCAGGGGTGGTGGGTCGGAGGCAGTCGTGGGGCTGCGAAGGGCCGGTTCGGGGCTGTAAGGAGGCGGCTGGGATGGGTTTAAGGTGGTGGGGGACTAAGGGACCGCTTGTGTTACGAGGCGCCAGCCGGGGGATGTAAAGGGGCGGCCGGGGCGGGTGTGAGGGACCGGCCGGCGGTGAAGCGGCTCCGGGCGCCGCGGGAGCGGGGTCGGTGCGGGTCGGAGGGGTCGGTGCGGGTCAGAGGGGTCGGTGCGGGTCAGAGGGGTCGGTGCGGGTCAGAGGGGTCGGTGCGGGTCAGAGGGGTCGGTGGTTGAAGGAGG